ATAATATTTATTATTTATGATTTAAAAGAGCCCGTTCACGAGTGACTGAGTCGAGTCGGGGTGCCTCAAGCTTGGCTTGCAGCTTATTGAGCTCAGTTTATAAACCACTTATCTTGCCGAGCTCAAATTGGTTCACGAGTCGACTTGACTCACTTATCGAAAGATCTCATGCACGAAACTCGCTAACCCAAAGTAATAATAATAATAAAAAAAAAAGGTTAATTTCAATTTATGTACAAAACTGACAGATTTGTGGGAACATTGTAAGAATAAAAGTATGCGGAGCAAATCAAATTGGATACTGCTTGTCTCCAGCGGCCAATTTGTTTTGACCGACCGCGATATTTTTTTTTTAAATTAGTTGGTGGGACCCACAGCCGATGCAATTTGTGTCACATGCAATTTGAATGCAAGCGCCTGGAAAAAAAAATGGGTAGATTTATGTATTTACACCTGTAATAAATAGCAGTTTCTATTGACATTTTATGTATATACAGTTTTGTATTTCACTTGAATTATTTGGGTGATATAAACATAAAAAATAAAAATTAGCTATTAGTTCTAAGAGGGATTCTTAGAAAATGAATTAATTTATTTTCTCTGATGAGTTGTAGAAGTCGAGCCCTTCTAAGATTTCCCGACTTATAAGATTTTAGAGCGAAAAAAGAGAGGAAATTCCCTTTAAGAAGAAACAGTTAGAGTGAGTCCCCCATATTTGCTCATCTCCCTTCTTTTCATACTCAAGTGAGCAAAGTAGTAAAATAATAAATGGGATACATGTCATGTTGTAAGACACCGATGTCTTGATGAAAAGACTGCGATGTGAGTGTAAGGCGGTACCGACATGACTCACATCCCTTGTATTTGGGTGAAGAGATGACGTTCTAACTATCGAGCTACACTTTTTTTTAATGTATTGACATGTGTCCTTACTATTAATGATATCATTCTTCGATAGCTACCCTTACGCATGAGGGATTGATCGTCAAGTTAAGAGGAATAAATACAACAACTTCAGCAGGTGGGTTCGATTTAGCCACATCGGCATGTGAGCTTGATTCAATAAAAATGTGCAAAAACTTTTGTGTTACGCCATCAACAAATTTTTGTCATTTGCCGAGAATCTCAAAGCATTGTATGGATCATAAGACAGTTTTTCGAGTAAGAAACATTCAAACTTTAATTAAAAGTTACCCAAAACAGTCATTTCGACAAACTTATAGTCAAACTCACCAACGATACTAAATTGGTCCAAATCGAGTCAAATCAAATTCAGTTTTTCAAGCATAATTGAAAGGCCAAACATATTCTTAATATGACTAGCTTATAATCAAATCGAGCGTCTCAACAACGCAAATTCAACAAACTCCAGATTGTTCAATTTTAACATCATTAAGGAACTAAAATGTCCATTGAACATTGTTTGATAAAAGGAATCACTATAGGTCATCTGAACAAAAATGTTATGAATTTATTCCTTATTTGCAACCTGAACTCTATAATTAAGGTCCTAACCCTCCATGAAACGAGAGAACTTGATCCCGAGAAAGAGAAACAACTGTGCCTGCTAAAGAGGGAGTTGCAACCCAACATCATGCATCACAGATCCGACCAACATTATTTGTCGTGGTTGCCTCTGCCCAACTCCAACCGCATCTGCTTCTGGCCGCCTTCGCCTTCGCCTCCAACCGCAACTGCTTCCAACCTCCACCGCTTTTGACCAGCGCCTCCTGCGATCAACTCCGACTATTACTGGTCACCACCAACTATGATCAGCAGTCGCCCAATCCCTACGATGAGGCAACATGCTCTTCTGTGCATAAATGTTGTAACATGAGAAACTGTGTAACATTTCTCGTCCGCGGGACAAGAGGGTGAATTTGTTATCACCAACTAATAGTGAAGTATTTCAATTGGGGAAGACGCCGTGATTTTTTCCCTTTCCGGCTTTTGGATGCAAAAAATCTTTTGATGTCCCTTTTGATTATCTTCTCTCATTCGAGTGTTTGCTGGATTCGCTTACAACGTTACGACATTTATTCGCTACTCTACCGTTCACATCATTTCGTACAACCATATTTGTATATGCACCATTATATGGTTGAAAATTTTAATAATTCGAAGTCATTGCAAGCAACAACAATAAATTAAATGAGGATCTCACTTGAAATTCTGCAGAACCTAAATATTTATAATTAAAATTCAAAATTACATTTTGCATTGGAGACTTTCACAACACTTTTCATAACAGAATACATCATCAATACAAAATGTTTGAATATGTATAATTAAGAGAATATTCCTTCCGTGTTATTCAGATGTTATTGTGTGTTATTAAAATATTATTGATGTGTTACTGTATTATTATAACACCCGAAATATTTCCCAGAACACAATAACACCTGAATAACATACAAAAACATCTCTATAACACGTAATAACACAGGGGGAATATTCTCTTGCGTTACCGAATCGATTTTTATTTTTCTGTCACCTCCACATTGCGTGATTTCAATGAACACCGTACGTAATTCTACGTGCAGAGTCTGATGCAATATTTTTCCCAGTTTTAAAGTGCTAAAATAGGAATATTTGATGTGATCTGTAAGATTTAGGTGGTATGAAGTTTAGATGTTAAACAAGTAAATGTATGGGAAAATGCCCCTAATATTATCTTAAGAAAAAAATTATCCGTTCAAACAAAATATTTATTTATTTTTTATTAAAAATAAGATCAAATCAGTAGTTTGATTTTTTTATATATTTTTGTCACATCAGTAGCTAAGCCAACTCAACCTTTCCAAAAAAATTATACTTTTTAAATAAAATTTTTTATTTTATAAATACAAACACCCGTCTGCTTAAGATTGCTCGATGTAAGTATTTATTCAACTTTTAATAAATTATCTAAGCGTCGCTTTTGGGGCCGCTTTTTTCAAGCGGCGTGACCCCAAACTGTAGAAAAAATATTACCTTAGGAGTATTGATGCATCAGTACTCCAATGAGGAGGTGTCACGTGACATTTATGATGAGACCATTATATGCGTGACACATCCTCATTGGAATATTGATGCATCAGTAATCCTGAGGTAATATTTTTTCCAAACCGCGACGCCACTATTTTTTTCTTCGCTTTCGTGCAATGTTTGTGGGTGCTCGCCGCTGAAGTAGGTGGAACGCGGGCCGTGGGTTTGACCTCTCGACCCTATGTTCGCAATTATTATTTCCCCCATTGCCCGGCTCGAGGCTATAGCTTCCCAGCAGGATGGTCATTTTTCCAGAAATAACTGTCTCACAGTTGTTTTCACATAGCTACAACAAACATGCAGTCAGCTTCTACGAGCAGTTTCCCCGCAGCAGCTTCCTGGGGCAGCACAGCTTTAGCTGAATATCTGAGAAGCTGCAACTGTCTCAAATAGACATATAACTATTGATAAAAAAAGACATTTAAGTTATTATAAATTCGGGGAAATTACAAAAAAAACATTGCTATTTGCAAATCTTGCATCTCTTTTCATATAATTTTCAGCACATTTTACAGTTTTGATCATGGGAAGCCTAAATGCTTTAGTTCGGGGGTTCAAAAAATATATTAGTGAGCTAATTTTGTAAATAACAATATTTTAAATGATGTATATGTAATCATCCCAAATTCATAAATGAAGTGTTTGCTCGGTCTTTAAAAAGGACTGATTTTAAAAATAGGTTGGAAGGAAGACTTTGAGCAAAAATTATGTTCTAAATTAATCAAATTCATTGATTTATTATAATTAAAACCAAAACGAATTAAATTACAAAGTTTAAACTTATTACTTATTGCATGATTTTTTAATTATCATATAAGTGTGGTTTTATGCATATAAGAGCATAATTTTTTTTTTATTTATAAGTGTTGGGAAATTAGGGCGAAGAAAAATAGGAATCGACACAAATTCAGAAACGCACAGATTTATGAGGTTCGACAAAGATGCCTACATTCTCGGGAGCAGAGCGACGACTTCATTTTCAATATTCAGAATCTCGGATTCTCAGAGACTCACCTAGGATTACAAACGGGACATATATATAACCCTATAGTACAATTTTAATTACTTAAATTACTCCTGTACCAAACCGCAGGATGTTGCCCCCTCACCCCCAACCCACATAATGAAACTCCCTCGATTGGACAGTTTTTCCGCTCCACTCCACTCCAGCATCTGTCCCATTTATGGTATATGAGTCATATCTAACAATAAGGTTTTCAATCAATGCATAATTCACGTTTAAATTATAATAAATATAGATGAATTAAGTTTATTAGTAATTAGTAAATAGGTAATTAAAAATTAACTATCTAAAATATCACTTGACTTTTTACTTATTTAAGAGCTTATTAATTATTATTTGTATAATTAAGTACAATATAAAATTATATTAAATTGAAATAAACATACTTAAATCTAGAGGTGTAAACGAGACGAGGTAAGCAAGCCTAAAGTCAGTTCGTATTTGACTCATTAAAAAATATCATTGATTGTATTTCGTTTGTATATATATCGAGCTAAAAAAAGAAGCACAAACCAATAGCCATATAGATAGGCCCAACTAAAAATGCAATTCCATCAAATAAAAAGGGCCATTTCACAAACATGCTAAACAATTCCTATGTATTTACATTTCTAACAGCTGTAAACATTATTATTTTTCATTTATATCATATAAATCATTAATACGAGCTTAGCTAGCCGAACACAAATTATTCGCAAACAATGAGTCATTTTGATAAACCAAGTCACATAACCATAACATATTAAAGATATGAGTGAAATTTAAACCTTATTATTTATATTAAAATATTCAATTTAATATAAATTTATTCTATCTTTCTTAATCAATAATTTTAATTGATTATATAGTTCTGTAGCTCGTAGTCACTAAAATCATTTAAAAATGTTACTCATCAATTAAATAAAATGAGCAAAACACGAACAAATAAAACTGTGTTTGGCTCATTGATACATAGAGCGCAAAAAAATTGTTCATCTTTAGCTTGTTTACTTAGCAAACGTATCAAACACGAACTAATTAACGAGTTGTTTCTGAAATATGAGCCATTTCCCCCAACATAAATTAAATCTTTAGAAAAACAATACAATAATCACAAATTGGTCCCTGATAAAACACCTAATTCTGAAAACTAAGATTCTTGTTCAGTGAGAGCTTCATGGATCAGCTTTTCTGTAAGAGCCTTGGGAAGCCCCATCACGCTATCAGGAGCCCCAATCTGCAAATATTAAATCTATTCATAATATGATTTAAAATATTATCTCAGATTATCAAGTAATCAACACAAACCACTGCTTCCACTAATGGCAATATCAGAGGATGTTCTAACAGCAGCCCTCCAGCAACATTGAATACAATTCTTTCCTTTATCTAAATAAACAAACAAACAAATGAATGAATAGATAAATAATAATCAATTGAGGATTCTGCTTAAGGAAATGGAGATTACCAGGCTTTGAATAACCTCATCAGGTATTTGATAGAAGTAAACCTACAAGACATGATATGAATATGATTATATATCATTGGGCTGCATAATCATAATATTTGATCAGAAGAAAGAAATTATTGATTTTTTTTTTTAATTTTATTTTGTTTTTACTTATACTTTTAATAAAATGTTTCTTTTGTATAGTTTTTTATAGCAAAAATACCACTATTTTAACTTTAAGAAGGTGAAATACACATTTTTAATGCATAGATAAGATGACAAATATGTAAAAATTGAAGTTTGAATGTTAGATTATGTGAATACATAAAAATTATGGAAATCTTCAATTTGCTTTTTACCATTAAAAATGAATCAGCTTGTTCTTTGAAGCACTCGAAATAAATTTTTAGATATTTTAAGAGTTTTTTTTTAAAAAAACAAACATCACCACCAAATATATTCTACTTCAAATCCAAACATAAACAATAAAAAAATAAAAAAAATGATCCGAATGGACCAGTTAGTTACCTCAGCTTTATCCAAGCCTCCAATTCTCATGCCTGTCTTGAGATTGATGACATGAACATAATTCGCAGTAGTTATATGACTGCCAGAATAGCCTGCAGAGAGCATGTCAATGTTGAGAAGAAAATACATGTTATTCAGCAATTACATGGCATCAATAAAAAAAGAAAAAGGGAACACTTTACCTCTAAGAAATTGGTTTGCTTCTTCCTCTGTGATTGGTTTTTCTCTAATTGACCCTTCATGCACCACCACCTCCCAAGTTAATCAAGATTTAGTAAAATAAAATATATAGAAAGAATTACATATACACCACTAAATTTCTAAGTATTTGCATATGTAACACCAAAACTTCAACTTTTATATATATGCCACCATATCTATGCATGAAAAATGTGTATTTCACTTTTTAGAAGTTAAGATGGTGGTATTTTTTATGTGATATGGAAGATTTTGGAGGTATAAATGTAAAAGGTAAAATTTAAGTGTTTCGTATGTAAATATATAGGAATTAAGTGGTATGCATGTACATGCAACAAGAATAAATTGTGTTTAAACGGAATGAAAGTAACATGAGGATTAATAGTGTTTTTTCTTCTAGGTATTTAAAAATGGTGTTTTTCATAACAAAAATATAAAAAAAAAAAATTGTTGATTAGTTTACCATCAGAAGATATATTATAATGGAAAGTTGGTTCAAATAAGTGATCACATGACCAGCTAATATTACGGTGTGATCCTTACATGATGGTCTCATCAGAATGTAATGATCCCCTTTCCTATAACAAGGGGTTAAATTTACATTTGTAACCACTATCCAAATAGGAGCCATTCATGCCTATATAGCTTGCTAAAATGACACAAAATACTATATGTAAGCAGGAAACAACAATAATAACAACAAGCCTTTATCACACTAAGTGGGGTTGGCTACATGAATCATTTTTCTCCATTGTCACCTATTGAGCGTTATATTTTCATTTAATTCTAATAAATTAAGATAAATTTTTATACAACATGCCCTCTTTCTAGATCTACTTATGCATTTCTTAACGTAAGTCAAATCTAAAACATATATTCTCCTATCTGGATATCAGATGATCAACCTTTGATGTGACCAAACAATTTAAAACGATTCTCACTAATTTTGTCCGCCACTGGAGCTACACCAACCCTATCACAAACATATTCATTTCACATTTTGTCTCTAAGTGTAAAGCCACTCATCCACCTAAGCATTCTCATCTCGGCAATACTTCACTTTATTTTATGCTTATCATTTAAAGGTCAACATTCTGCGCCATAGATCATTGCAGGTCTTATCACCATCTTGTAAAATTTTCCTTGCAATCTAAGCGATACTTTTCTATCGCACAATAAACCTGATGCATTCTTCCACTTCAACCAACTAACTTGAATTCAACTAATAACATCCTCATCTATATCACCGTCACTTTGAACAATAGACCCGAGAAATCTAAGAAGTTCACACTTTTAATGATTTGATGACCCATAGTTACAACTCAGCCACAAGAGCTACTACTACTAAAATTACATTCCATGTATTCAGTTTTAGTTCTACTCAAATGAAGGCCTTTAGATTCCAATTTAGATTCCATAATTCAAGTTTATCCCGAACACTTTCTCTAGTCTTATCCGCAAGAAGAATATCATCAGCAAAAAGTATACACCAAGGTACGTCCTCTTGTAAGTGTCGTGTCTCTAATAAGAGCATCCATAACTAAAGCAAAAAGATATGGGCTTAAAGTCGATCCCTGATGTAATCCAAATGAAATAGGAAAATACTTGATCAATCCTCCTTTTGTTCGAACACAACAACTCTAGTATAGATATCTTTAATGATTTGAAAATAAGTTATATTAACACCTTTATTCTCTGGATCTCTCCATAAGATTTATCTTGAAACCATAAATCAATAAAAATCACATGTAGATCCCCGTTATTCTCTCTGCATTTCTCTATAAAACCTCTCAATAAATGTATAACTTCCATAGTAGACCCGCCCAACATGAATCCAAATTGATTTTCAGAAATCTTTGTAACACGTCTTAGCCTATGTTCAATTCCCTTCTCCCATAATTTGAAAGTATGTCACATCAACTTAATTCCTCTATAATTTGCAAACTCTTGTGCTTCCCTTTTATTCTTAAAAATTGAGACTAATATACTCTTCCTCCACTCCTAGGATATCTCTTTAGTTTTTAAAATAATATTAAAGAGTTTAGTAAGCCAAGAAACTCTCAAATCTTCTAAATATTTCCAAACTAAAATTGGGATAACATCAGGTCCAACTGATTTTCCACGTATTCTTTTCTTTAAAGCCTCCCAAACTTTTTGATATTAAGATCACTAAGGTCCGTCATATTTTCAGAAACTTCATTGAAAGTTTTATCAAAATAGCTCACCCACCTATGTTGAATATCTTTTCTAATAAAGACACTTTGATTTTCATCTTTAATACACTTTACTTGAATTAAGTATTTACTTTTCTTTCTCTTTGTTTGGCTAGTTAATACCTATATTTTTCATTATTTTTAGTATATAATTTATTATGAAAATCACTAAAAACAGAATTTTTTGCCTCATAAATTGTTCTCTTAGAATCCTTACGGGTAACCCTATATTTATTCAAGTTCTCTAAGCTTTTCTATTTAAATCAATTTTTATAACATAACTTATATTTTATCTTTTCTTCACCACTACCTATTTTTATTTATAGAAACTTTTACTTTTGATTCTCCAAGTACATATTTTGTCACTTGTTTAATAATGTTTGTTACTTTATCCCACATAGAATTTGTTTCATCATGAATTTCTCAAATCTTGAAATATTGAAGTTCACTCGTATAATAATTTTATTTGTCTTTTAGGTGCCCTCATTTAATTCCATTACAATGACTCCAAATATTCTTTATCTTACAACTTTTCATCTTAAAATTCGGAACTAATAATAGATGTTGAGTACTTAAATTCTTACTAAAAAAAACCCGATAATCATTACATTTTCGACCATCTCTTCTTCTCATAAGAAAATAGATAATTTGTGTTTTATTATATCCATTCTAATAAGTAATAACACGCTCATTTATTTTCTTAAATTGAATACTAGCAATAGCAACATCATAAGCCAAAGCAAAATCTTATATGACTTATCTTCTTCATTAATCACTACAAAACTGTAGCCACTACGAATATTTCTAAAAACTTTTACAATTCTAATAACATATCCATTTAAATCTCCAATAAAAATTATTTCTTCAAGAGGTGTCATTTGTATTAATTCTTCTAAGTCATTCCAAAATTTTCCTTATAACCTATATCTATACTTGAGGAGCATAAGAACTTATAACGTTAAAAATCTTAGTATAAAAAACAATCTTAAAAGCTATAATTCTATCTCCAATTCATATTCAAAAAATTAAAAAAAAAAGTGTGGAAGCGTCTAAGAAAAAACCAACTGAGAGAATAAAAAAAGTGAGACTTACAATATCAGACGTAATGAGGAGTGTCGGCTCAATGTTCTTGTAATCTGTAACCTTCAGCCTAGACAAAATAGCATCAGCCTGAAATGATACACTGCACTTTAGCAGGAGGTTGAAAAAAATATTATTTGGGAACATCAAATAATTTATACGAAAAAAATCTTGCAATGACAAACAAATTCTTGGGTCGTAATCGCTCGCATTTATTTTACACCAAGCCAAACACTGAAATATTTCAAACACACTACTTCTCAAATACAATACGTTCCGTTCACTTTTTATTCCATTTTCAGCAAGTCAAACTATCCTTCAAACAAACCCGGATATCAGAAAACCCCAAAAAAATTCTGTGATTACAACCACTAAAAGTCCACATGCAAGCCATCAGAATTCATACAAAAGTAATGAATACTTGTTATGTAGCAACCATTAAATTTGAAATGGAATGAAAGATAGTGCTTGGGTTAAGACAAATATTTCCATAATCAGATGAAAAAACAATGGTTCAACATTTTGATACCGTAATTTATAATTAATTAAGTCGTAAATCAATAAATTAGATCACATTAACTAATAAAAAGTAGTGCTTAAGCAAGTATTCATCCATCAACATGCAAGCCACTTAGTCTGGTTGTTGGGAGTTTCATCTCAAACCATAGCATCTAGTTCCCTTTAGTAAAATATTTTATCAATATTAAACAATCAACGAGAACGTGGAAAAACCATAATCACTGACCAATTATGGTTGAATAGTTTCTAACAGTAATATTGAATGAAAAATGCTTTCAGTAATGCAAAGCTCAGAAAAGTACATACCTTCGCTTCGGCTAAAACTCTTACCAACTCTTCTGGCTTTTCTTTACGAATAGCTTTTTCATCTATACCTGCAGTCTAAACCATAATAAAAATAAATAACACGAAAAAGATAACAGTAAGCATACTTCCTAAGTCAGAACGAGCCTTGATTTCAAATTCATAACCCATCTCTGATAAAATATGCCGACGAGCCACTGATGAAGAACCCAAGATTATCTGTTGCATCCATCATCATACCAGAAGAAATATTAAACAAATTATAATTTATGCAAAAATAGTAGCATGGGTGCAATAAAAAAAAAAGTATCAACCATAATAAAGTTCCAAGGACTCTATTATGCACAAATATCTTTGAATTCTTAGATGCAAGATGATTTAAGATTAGAGTTTCGAATGCAAGTAGAAAGATATGATGTATGCATATAAGTATAATGGAGTTTATGATTCACATATCGGAAACCAATAAATAAACCAAAAAAACTCATTTTATTTAAATTTAAACAATAACTACTAGAATTTGACCTAAACAACAATGCAGCAATCGAATAAATTCAAAGAAAATCAATGAAAAATTCAAAGCATTTAAAATCAATGAGCAATCACAAGTAAATTCACCACAATAAGAATCCCACCTCTGTCAAAATTCATGAATACTGAAAAGCAATAACAAAATATTTAGAAGAAATAAATTAAGAAAAGGAGTTACTAAGCAAGAAATCGATGCCCCGTCTGGAATTAATTTATAGCATTTGTACCAACTTGCTGACACAAGATTGGAAGTAGAAGAAAAAAAAATTAAGTCAATCAAAATTATAAATTACAATCCGAAGCCTATCTATTTATAGACCTCACATCATTTAATTAATAGATATAGTTGACATAAAATCAACACAATTAGCGGGGTTTTGCTGTAAATTATGGGAGGATTTGATATTATAAATATGGAGATTTGAGCAAATAAGAAATTTGGGTGTTGATTTCTACTTTGATTCAATGTATGTTTGGTTGGAATGCTTCTAGCTTTCTAAAATAATGGGCAAGTCATCACCTGCAGTAACATGAGGCCTGATTCTCCTATTTCGCCTTTTCTTGTCTTGTTTACTCATATTCTCTAATTTTTTTATAAAAAGTATGTTATGTGATAGAATTCTGTTAAAATTGATACAAACTAATTTGTTTATTAAAGTTCGAGTTTCAATCAAATATATGATTTTATGGCTTCGGAGGTGTGTGTTATTTCTCATAAATAACTATTAAATTATCATATAAGATATAATTTTTTATTTTTCTATTTTCGTCCAAAAAAAACAGATAATTGCCTAAATTATGGTTTTGTAGACTGGATTTTTAGTGGGCTGGATTTTGTGCAACTAATTCTAAATACAAGTTAATAAATTCCTAAACCCTAAGATGTTCTACATCGATTTAATATTAAAGCTTAAGATTGCATTATGATGTCAATTAGAAGTAAAACATAACTGAACCTATTAACATAATAAGTAAATGATATAATTAATACAAAATCGGTTAATCTATGATTCTAAACAAATGCAAGGCAATTTTTATGAAGTTCAAAATTATATTTAAACATGCAATGAATATGTAATCTTAGAAAATTTTCAAATTAAATCTACAACTGCTAAGTTATTTTTTTTTTCAAGTTCCCAATTCTGAAAAATCGAATTTACTAAAAATTTAAAAAAATATGATCAATATTTTTGGTAAGTGTTGTCGCTAAATCTACATAACCTGATATAAAAAAGAATTTCAAAGAGGAAAATCTATCATTCAATCAATATAGGAACCGATTGCATGATTAATTCAAAAATTATAAGTAATATGAGTATAGTGTGTTGAATATTATGCCGAGTTTAAAGGTTTAATAGGCAACCATTACTTGTCTTTAGAATATTATGTTATCATCACATGTTAAAAAATTATAAGTAATATGAGTATAAGTAATATATAGGAACCGATTGCATGATTAATTCAAAAATTATAAGTAATATGAGTATAGTGTGTTGAATATTATGTCGAGTTTAAGGGTCTAATAGGTAAACATTACTTGTCTTTAGAATATTATGTTATCATCACATGTTCTATTAAAAAACTTAAGCAAGTATAAGGATAAGTTCATACAAGTCCACAAAAATATTACACAAGTCCTTATTTAGAGCATTAAATATAGAGGAATACTACAAATAACTATTCTCTTATTAGAACAACATAGCCTATGATTAATATTTCGAAAGACCGGCCATTAGCATCTCCTAAAGTCTATCATAACCACCTAAAACAAGAATCCTAGATGGGTGAATTAGATCCTCTAGAAGAAATTGTAGTTCATGAGTATTCTATGCTGATAAATTAGATATTGAAGAGCATATATAGTTACAATATGTTAATACATCCGTTTTTGTTAGATTTGAATTTGTACCTATATTAGAACACGATCATAAACCTAAATTATACTTGTACAAGAGTCAAAATTTTAGTTTTTTTATTGAATTTGAGCTTAAGATCAAATTTGAATAGATATTTATGATAAAAACAGAATTAAATAGTCAGAGATTAAAAAAAATAAGTAAAAACATATTTGAAACTAATCTTCAGCTATAAATGCAATCTAGTCGTGAATGTGAAATGGAACAAATCAAATATATTGTAATTATTTGATTAATTGAAGAAACACATTAAAACAATTCTTAAGGCATTATTTATTAATTAATATTTAAAGCATTTAGATTAATTTTATTTAAAGAGGTTCAATCTAAACACTAAATTTAAATTTTCTCCTGCATCATTTAGCTCTAGGAATTAGTTATGAATTTACAGTGCATTTATTAGCATTCAGTAAGTATGAAGTATTACAGCATTTTCACTGCTTGCATCACGTCATATAGCATCCTTCAATAGTCATTCGCATAATATTAATGAAAGCATTCACGTAAACTTAATTTCAATGTCGACGATTATAACTTTATCATGAATTTAACATGATATAAGGAAAGTCAAATAAAGAGAAAAGGTAATGGCTTATCTGAACCCTAAAAGGTTTGCTGAATTACATCTTATGAAACTAACAGCTATAAAGATGGGACCTTAGAAAACCATTTAATGCATGGGAGTAAATGCTTAAAAATTAAATATAAAAAACTTTCGAATTTAGTGGCAAAAAGAACCTTCTTTTCCCCTTCATAACATAACAAAAACGAAAAAGAACAAGAGAAAATCAGACCACACACAATAAGTCAACAGATGACAGATTAGACGAGGAAATACAGAAAAAAGAATATAAGATTCGAAGAAAGTTATGCGTTGTTACTGTCCTTTAAAAAACTTAAGCGCTCTTCCAATGAAATTAATCCAAAAAACTGCTTCTTTCTTCCATAAAACCTAATTGGTTCCATATTTATTACTAAAAGAAATTTCGAAGGTACTGACCTTGAAAGGAAGACGATTGATCGTCATTTGCTCTGTCTCTTACCGGCAATCACGGAACGAAGAACCGGCGAGGTGGTGGAGATCGACGAATGAGGTTCTGGAAGAAGAGAGGCTGGAAGCAGGGGATTTATGGCTAAATCCTCCTCAAACTCTTGGGGCATTTAAATGAGCATCACCCAATTCCTATGTATTTACATATCAAACACATGAATTTTACTTTTTATATTTATACCACCCAAATCTGTTATATCCTACAAAAAAATATCAGAATTTTAATTTTTAAAAGGTTAAATACATGTTTTAATCATGCAAAAGTGAGGTGGTATGTATGTAAAAATAAAAGTTTAGATGTTATATATAAAAATACATAAAAATTGAGTGGTCAATCCGTAGTTCTTCCAATAATTTTGTGCTAAAAAATATTAATTTTGGAACCTGATTGGTGCTTCAATTCACACCACCAAATAAATAACTGAATAATGAGAGTTTTGAGCTAAGAATATGAAAGTAAAAGAGAAAAATAAGGCCTTTCAATATTTGTGATCTATCTTTATTTTAAAATGATCCCCTTTATAGAAGGATTTGCTTATACATTACAAATCAAGTACTTCTTACACATGTAGGGCTGTAAACGAGCTGAGCTTGAGCGAGCTCAGGCTTGACTCTTGTTCGGCTCTTTCGAAATAGCTTGTGTTTGAAATCGGCTCGTGAACAGTGTGTTCGTGTTTGGCTCAATTTAAATATTTGTGTTCGTGTTCGGCTCGTGTTCGACTCGTGTTCGGCTCGAAATTGGTCGTTAAAATAAAATTGAGAAAAAAAGATGTAAAGTGTGAGATTCAAACCTGTATCGAATCTATACAAAAGAAGACACTAACCACATTGTCACATGAGGTGTTATGATTTAAATTTAGACATAAATATATATATATATATATATATTATCGAGCCATTTCAAACAGAACACGAGCGGAA